GACTAAATTGAGCGTTCCTTCTATGGGTGAGGTCTGAAAACCCAGGAAGCCATCCCCGCATGGATTACTAGTAAACTAATTTCACCAGATTTATTCTGTGTTGGGGTGAGCAGCCCAATTCCTACATTCCCTTCTGACAGCCTGTTTATAGGATAAGGGATAACTGGACAGTGTCTGAGGACTGGATCTTCTGCTAAGTAGCTGTCAAAAGGACTTAGGAGGAGTGCAGTAGGTTTATTGGGGCAGTGCCTGTGAAAGACAGATGGTGGGGGAGCAAAATACACAGGGAGAGCCTGCAGATTCCCTGGCACCCTGAGGAATAAGGTAGCTCTAATCTAGGCATCAGAAACTGATTTTATTTTTTTTAAAATGAAAAACAATTATTAGTAGGGCCACAGATTTAGCTCAATGGTTGCCGTGCCTGCCAGGCAAGCACAAGCTCCTGAGTTTGATTCCAGGTGTGGAAATAAAATAACATAAAATGAAATCATTATCAGTATATGTTTGCAATACATTGTGATTACATTCAGCTTGGACAATGTATCCGTATCTCTATCTATCTATCTATCTCACATCTTGATCATTTTTAGTCCCTCTGCCTGCCCCTTTTCCAAACCCCCTTCCCATCTCTGCAGAGGCCACCTCCCTATTTCTTAACAAACATGGCTCTGTTTTTTCCTCTTTAAATCGTTTATACTTTGGATCTTTCATATCAAAGAAACCCAAAAACTAATTTAAAAAATTTATACTGGCCATGGTGGCACACATCTGTAATCCCAACCTTCTGGGAGGCTGAGACAGGAAGATGACGAGGTTGAGCTCCATGGGGGCATTACAGGGAGTATAGTGGGACTCTTTCTCAAAAGAAGAAGGAAAAAAAGTCTTAAAACCTCCCTAAATTAACCTAAATTAAAGACAACCAAAATAAGATTTCAAACTTTTTTCTTTATTTCAAAAGAAACCTGGCTGGAAGAGCCTTTCCTCCCTCTTTCTCTCCCTCCCTCCCTCCCTTCCTTTCTTTTAGTACTGGGGATTGAACCTAGGGCTTTTGTACTGCATTCCCAGTCCTTTTACAATTTTTTAGTTTCTGACAGGGTCTTACCTATGCTGGACTCAAATTTGAGATCCACCTGTCTTTATTCATTGAAGATGTTTTTCTCTCATATTTGCTTCAAGTTACATTTTGGGTAGTTTCTTCAGCTTAATTTATTAGTGTACTCATTCTTTTTTCTGCAGTATTTCTACTACTGTTTAACTCATTCATTTTTAACTTCAATAAGTTTCTGAAGGTCTCATTTGGTTTCTTTGTGAGCCAAACTTTTTTTTTTAAATTAGATTCTGTTTCTTCCTCAAATATTCAACATTATTCTTCATTTAAGTATGTTAAACACATCTATTTTAGTTTTTTGTATGTAATAATTCTAGCATCTGACATTCTAGTTCATGGTACTTTAATTTCCAGTGTGCTTTATGACTTTTTTTTTCTTTGTTGCACTGGGGATTTCACCTGGAGCCTTTGCACTGATGTACATCTCCAGCCTATTTTTATTTTCTATTTTATTTATTCATTTATTTTTTTAGACAGGGTCTCACTATGTAGTTGAGATTGACCTGGAACTCACTATGTAGCCCAGGCTGGTCTCGAACTCACAGCGATCCTCCTGCCTCAGCCTTCTGAATGCTGGGATTATAGGCGTGTGCCACCACGCCCAGCCACAGCCTTTTTCTTAAATGTAAATTTTTAAAAAATTGACACAAGATCTTGCTAATTCTCTAAAGTGTCCAGAGTGGGCTCAGACTTACAGTCCTCCTGCCTTGGCCTCCCAGGATGGCAGGATTACAGGTGTAGACTGTCACATTTAGCTATAATTTCTTGAAATAGCACCAGGGCTAGGTGTGTTGCTCAGTGGAAGGCAGAATGCATAGTATGCATGAGGCCCTGGGTTTTACCCCCATCGCCATACACATACAAAAAACAAAGCAGAACAAATAAAATGACCAAAATGACATTTGATGCATCAGTCAAGGCTTCCTTTAATGGAAGACTTCTCTGTAGCACACAATGCTGCATTTTACCCACAGTTCAGCATTTTACCCATGGTAGACTGTCCTTCAAAATTGGAATCAATCCTCTCAAACCCTGCTTCTACTTTATCAGCTAAATACCTGCCTTCTAAATCCTTTGCTGCCATTTCAGTAATGCTCACGTCTTCACCAGTAGTAGATTCCATTTGAAGAAACTATTTGTTTCCTCATCCAAAAGAAGCAGCTGCCTGTGTCTTAAAGTTTCATTATGAGACTGCAGCAGTTCAGCCCCGTCAGCAGCTTCCCCTTCTAATCCTCATTCTCTACTCCTACAACATCTGCAAGTGATTCTTCTGTTGAAGTCCTGAACCCTTCAAAGTCATCTGTGAGGACTGGAATCAACTTCTTCCATACTCCTGTTAATACTGATATTCTTACCTCTCACGAATGACAAATGTTCTATCCTTCCTTCTTCCTTCTTGCTTTTTTGGCCTTACTGGGGATTGAACCTGGGACTTCCACGTTGAGCTGTATCCCTAGCCCTTTATCAATTTTGAGATAGGGTCTCTCTAAATTACTAAGTTGCCCAGGCTGGGCTTGAACTTGATGGTGATCCTCCTGCCTCAGCCTTCCAGAGTGCTCAGAGTACAGGTGTGGGCCACCACACTTGGACCTAAATGGCACCTAAAATGGTGAATCATTTCTGGAAAGCTCTCAATGTACTTGGACTAGCTTCTCTGAATGACTCTTTAGGGACTTATGAAATTTATTCATTTATTTATTTATTTTGTTTTCACTATGTAGTTTAGAATGCTCTTAAATTCACTATGCAGCCCAGGCTGACCTCAAACTCGTGGTGATCCTCCTGCCTCAGCCTCCCAATTGTTGGAGTCACAGATGTGTGCCACCACATCCACCTTGAAATTTATTTCTTAAATAATGATTTAAATGTTGAAATCACTCCTTAACCCATGGGCTGCAGAATAGATGTTGGTTAGTAGGCATGAAAGCGTTGTATATCAGATCTCTTGGGCAACTAGGCAACTCTCTTTGTAGCTCAGACTGGCCTTGAATTCACAGTGATCCTCCTGCCTCAGCCACCCAAGTGCTGGGATTGAAGGGTGTATGCCTCCACACTTGGTTCAAAACCATTCTTGCACACGAATAACAAACTCATTGAGCGAGAAATTAGGGAAACAACACTTTTCACAATAGCATCCAAAAAAGAAAAAAGAAAAGAAAAAAAAGAAATACTTAGGAATCAGTCTAACAAAGCAAGTAAAAGACCTGTACATTGAAAACCACAATACTCTGAAAAAGGAGATTAAAGAGGATATCAGAAAGTGAAAAGACATCCCCTGTTCTTGGAAAGGCAGACCCAATATTGTGAAAATGACCATACCTCCAAAACTATTACAGAGATTAATGCAATTCTAATCAAAATACCAATAGTATATGTCACAGAATGAGAGAAAACAATCCTAAAACTCATATAAAACCAGAAGACATCCAGAATAGCAAAAGCAATTCTGGGCAACAGGGGCAAGGCAGGGCCATCACAGTCTGGGATTTGAAGCTATACTACAAAGCTACTGCAATAAAAAAAAGCATTGTATCAGCAAAAAACAGATCTGACAATCAGTGGAACAGAGTGGAAGATTCAGAAACAACTCCAAGCACACTCAGCCACCTTATCTTTGACAAAGGGGCCAGACGCCTTCACTGGAAGAAAGACAGCCTCTTTAACAAATGGTGTTGGGAAAACTGGCTTTCTACATGCTGAAGACTGAACCTAGTCCCTTATCTCTCACACACACTAAGCTTAAAAGATCTAAATATAAAGACAGAAAACACTTAATCAGCTAGCAAATAGAGTAGGTAAAACTCAGGAAGATACAGGAGTTGGCAAAAACAACCCTGATCACACAGGAAATATTACAAAGAATCAACAACTGGCATCACATCAGATTAAAAAACTTTCTTGTCTTCAACAGACCATAATTAGCCCCCTGGAAAATGCCATCGAAACCATGTCTACAGCCAATGAGAAGATACTGATGACGATAAACCAGTACCAGAATGAGGAGAGCCTCCCGATCAACCCACCATCCCTGCTCCTGCATGGGATTGTAGACCCTGCTGTCATGGACAGCTTTGCCAAGTATGAAAAGGTCTTCTTCACTGAAGACTACATCAGGGACCATGCTGAGGACCAGGACAAGCTGAGCCATCTCAAGGACCTGATTGCATGGCAGATCCCCTTCCTAGGAGCTGGGGTTAAGATCCGTTAGAAAAGGGTATCTGACAACCTGTGGCCCTTGGGCAACCGGATGCAGGAACGTTTCAAGAACCTGAAAGGGAGGGCAGAGAAGGAACATGGTGTCTGAGAGATGCCCAACTTTGAGGACAGGAGAGTGGGCCAGGCCAGGTCCATGCTGAGCTCCTACAGGCAGATGCCCATCGCCTCTCTGGCTTGCATGGATTCCGACTGCAGCAAGGCTGCCTCTGACAACTTCGACCTGGAACTGGTACCACCCTGACTCCAAAAGCTTAGAAGGAAGAGCCCATTTCCCCGGGAAGTCCCCTGACTGAGGTCAAGCTGCGGCGGCCTAGGAAGAAGATGAGGAGGAGCAGTGTGGTGTTTGCAGATGAGAAAGCTGCAGCCGATTGGGACTTAAAGCGGCTCTCTAGGAAGCACGAGTTCCTGAGCCACACCAACCTCTCGGAGCACACGGCCGTCCCCACCAGATGAGTTCTGCCAGCCAGTCCATGCCCACCATCCCAGCCCTCACACTCTGTGGCAGGTGCGACCGGACTGGATGAAGCCAACACATCTCCCCACCCCAGCCAAACCTTCCCTCCACCCTTCAGAGACAGGAAGACGCTAACAAGGAAGAAAGTCAATCAATTCTTTTTTTTTGAACCGGGGATTGGATTTGGGACCTTGCTCTAAATCCCCGGCAAACAGATCCCGGATGTCCTGTCCACTGACCTTTAAGATGCTACAGACCAGAGGTACGTGAGGACTGCCAGGGAAGAGCATTTCCGGAAGAGAAGCATGGCTGCAAGCTAAGAGCCTCAGAGAGTAGAGAAACTGCCCCATAAGTTGTCCTCGCCTAGAAGAGACAGGGGTGACCGAGTCCTAGAATTGGTGACATTCAGCCTGGCGTCACCTGCTGTGGCCTCAGGGTGGAGATGACCCAGGACATAAAGAAGCCGCACCCTGGTTTCTCGGACTGAAAAGGAGGCAGCAAGTTCCTTGCGTGCTTTCCCCGGCATCCTAGGAAATCTTTTCAAAATCCAGTTTCTTAGGAATAGGAACTGTTTTGTTAATTTCATTGTCTAAGTCCTAGCACTTAACAGAACAGAAAAGCTTGTAATTATTCTTATTTTTAGTTAACAGTTTTGTACTTTACATTTTTTAAAGACAGCCACCCACCTTCTTTTTTAGCTATCGTTTCTAAAGTGTTGCTCTCTCTTACTGACAATAAAAATGGCCTCATGGATCAAAAAAAAATTTTTTTTAAACTTATGTAACAAAAGAAAATACCAACAAAGTGAACTCAAAGAATGGGAATTTTTTTTTTTTTTGTATACCAGGGATCAAACTCAGGACTTTGAGCTTGCCAGGAAGGTGTGGCGACACTGAACTACATTCCCAGACCTTAAGTAGGTAGCTGTACTTTGAGACCATCCTTTTAAGTGAAGTAAATCAAATATATATGTTTAAATATTGCATTGCTTCTCTTGTGTGAGAAGTTAAAAGTGTAAATAAGGGTGATAGATATTGAGAAGTAGAAAGGAAATATTCAAATGGGAAGGGGAACAAGGGAGGGGGAGGAGAAAGAGAAGGGAAAACTAAAAAAGGGGGTAGAAGAAAAAAATGGAAATAAAACTTCTGTAAATGAGGAGGTGAAGAAGGGCTGGAGGGAGAAATGATAAAACAGAAGAATCAAGATATATTATGTATGGTTACAAATTCCCTTTGATTAATGTGATCGTTATGTATATCAAAAGTGTACCAATAAAACTAATTTTAAAAAGAAAGAAATGAAAATGTAATTTGGTGAAAGCCTGCTTATGAAAATTTAAAGGAAATATTAAAGCAGGCAAATTAGCAAGCTTCTCTACATCTGTTAATGCAAACACACTCTAGCTGTATAATTTATGATATTATTGCAAATCACCGAAAGGTATGTATTAAAAGGTTTTTTTTAATAGCAAAACATGTATTCATACTCTTTAGGCATACATAATGATAACACTCACTGTAGGGAATTTACCCCTGTACATAATACTTCCTGCCTCTTCTTTCCCATTCTCCCTCTCCCCACAAGCTCCCTCCCCTCCCTCTGTACAAAAACTTGATTTCTATTTTTTCCTTCTAGTTTCACTTCTTTTCTTGTCCCTTCCTTCCTTTCCCCTCCCTTGCTCCCCTTCCCGTTTGAACATTTTCTTCCCATTTCCCAGTATGTATTATACATTTTAGTCCTTATATCTACTTTTGGTTTCTCACAACAGAGAAACTATGTGGTATTTAAACACATGTGTCCAGTTTATTTCACTTAAGAGCATGATCTCAAGGTCCATCCACTTAGCTATAAACGTCTGAAGGTCATCCTTCTAGTGACAGAGTAGTGCCCAATTGTATAATAAAAAACACATCTTCTTTATGCATTTGTCAGTGGATGGGCATTTGAGCTGTTTCCAAGATTTAGCTATTACAAACTGTGCTGCTATAAGCATGGATATTCATATATTGCTGTGGTACGATGTTTTTAATTCTACACTTGATCTTAGCCAAAAGGTTTAGAAGTGATTGGTGATGTTTTTAATTCTTTTTTGGGCGGGTACTGGGGATCAAACTCGACCTTGTGCTTGTGAGGTGAGTGCAGTGCCGCTGAGCTAAATTTCTAGCCCTGTTTTTTTAATCCTTTTGAGAATATATCAAGAAGGGGAGTAGCTGGGTCAAATAGAACTGCTAATTTTTTTTAATTTTTTGAGAAATCTCCACACTGATTTCCACAGTAGTTGCACCAATCTACATGGCACCAACAGTAGAGGAGGGTTTCTTTTCCCCCCATAGTCCCTCCAGCATTTTTTATTGGTTGATTTGTTGATAACAACCATTCTTACTGGACATGGAATCTCAGCACTGTTTTAATTTGCATTTCTTGAATGACCAGTGATGTTGAACTTTTTTTTTTTTTTTTTACACCCGGGATCGAATTCAGGTCCTTGAGTTTACAAGGCAGGCAGCAGAACCACTGAGCTAAATCCCCAGCCCTTTCAACATTTTTTGTGGCGGCCCAGCCGTCACAACACATACCTGAGTTGGGGAGTGAGGATTGAGAAAGGACAGCACACTCGATAGTGTGGAGACAAGAGGTCCGATTTATTACACAGAAACAGTTCCTTTTAAAGGCAAGCCAACAGGAAGCATCAAGCAATATTAAGGAGGAGATCAGATCTTTGGCTAGCTGAGTTCCTCCCATCACAAGGTCAAATTTAACAAAGTCCTTGAGCCGGGTGTGGTGGTGCACGCCCATAATCCCATAAAACCAGTCTGGATTACAGTGAGCTCCAGGTCAACACCAGTAATCCCATAAACCCAGCCTGGATAATCCCATAAACCCAGCCTGGATTACACAGTGAGCTCCAGGTCTATCTCATCTGCATAGCTGAGACTCTCATCTCAGAAAAGCCAAATAGAGTCATAGATTGTGTCAATGCCTCAATGGTAGAAGAAGTTACTTTTCCAATGTCAAATGCCAGCGGGCTCCCACAATTTTTTATATATTTGGTGTTTCTACACATCTGAGAAGTGTATTTTCATTTCAGATGCCCATTTTTGGATTGGGTCATTAAATTTGGGAAGTCTGATTTTTTTTAGTTCTTTATATATTCTACATAGTAGTCTTTTGTCTGATGAGTAGCTGGCAAAATTTTTTTCTCACGCTATGGGCTGTCTCTTCACTCTGTTGGTGGTTTCTTTTGCTGTGCAAAAGCTTTTTAATAAAATGAGGCCCCAGTTGTTGAGTCTTTGTATAATTTCCCATGGAGTCTGGGTTTTGTTCATGAAGTCTTTGCCTACTACTACATCTGGAAGCGTTCTACCTATTCTATCTTCCAGAAGATTTAATGTTTCTATTTTAAAATTTAGATTTTTGATCCATTTTGATTTGAGTTTAGAGCATGGTGAAAGATATGGGTCTAGTTTTAATCTTTGGCAGGTGGAAAGCCAGTTTTTCCAGCACCATTTGTTAAAGAGGCTATCTTTCTTCCAGTGAAGGTGTTGGGCTCCTTTGTCAAAGGCAAGGTGGCTGCATATGTTTGGAGTTGCTTCTGCATCTTCTGATCTATTCCACTATCCTCAGGTCTGTTCAATACCATGCTGTTTTCATCACTGTACCTTCGTAGTATAATTTCAGGTCAGGGATTATGATACCCCCTGCCTTGCCTTTGTTGCCTAGAATTACCTTTGCTATTCTAGGTCTCTTCTGGTTCTCAATTAATTTTAGAATTGTTTTTTCTAATTCTGTGAGATATGCTGTTGGAAGTTCAATTGGGAAAATCTGTAAAACAACTTTGGAAGTATGGCCATTTTCACTACAATGGTTCTGCATATCCAAGAACAAGGTATAACTTTCCATTTTCTGACATCCATTTTGATCTCCTTTTTCAGGGTACTGTAGTTTTCAGAGTAGAGTTCTTTTACTTCCTTTGTTAAACTGATTCCTAGCTATTCCATTTTTTTGGATGCTATTGTGAAAGGTGTTGTTTCCCTAATTTCTCTCTGTGAATTTGTTATTTATGAACAGGAAGGTTGTGGATTTTGAAGTGTTGACTCTGTATCCAGTTACACTACTGAATTTGTTTTTTGGGGGTCTTCTCTGTAGAGTATCATGTAATTTGCAGATACCCTTTTATCCTTTCCTATCCTTATTCTTTTTATTTCTTTCTCTTGTCTAATTGCTCTGGCTAATGTTTCCAGAACTATATTGAACAAGGGCGGGTGTGGTGGTACACACCTGTAATCCCAGCACTGAGAAGGCTGATGCAGGAAGATCGCTGTGAGTTCAAAACCAGCCTGGGCTACATAGTGAATTCCAGGTCAGTCTCAAGTACACAGTGAGACCCTGCCTCAAAAAAACAAAAAAACAAAAAAACAAACAAAAAAAAAACAACTATATTGAACAAGAGTTTTGAGAGTGGACATACTTGTTTTATTCTTGATTTTAGAGCAAAAGCTTTCAGTTTTTGACCATGTAGTATGACTTTGGCTGATGGTTTGTTGTAGATGGGTTTCATCAGATTGAGAGAAAACCATCTATAGCCATTTTCTGTATGTTTTTTAAAATCATAAATGGGTGTTGGACTTTGTCAAATGCATTGTGTTGATCATGTATGTGGTTTTTGTCCTTGGTTCTGTTAATGTGATGTATTACACTTATTTTCACATGTTGAACCATCCCTGCCTCCTTAGGATGAATCCTACTTGGTCATGGTGTATAACCTTCTTGATGATTTCCTGAATTTCATTTGCTAGTATCTTAGGGTTTTTGCATCTATGTTCATTAGGGAGGTTGGCCTTTAATTCTTTTTTGGTTGGATTCTTCTCTAGTTTTGTTACTGAGATAATGCTTGCTTCCAGGAATGAATTTGGGAATATGATTTCCCTTTCAATTTGATTAAAGCGTTTGAGAAGTAGTGGTATTAGGTCTTCTCTAAATTTCTTGTAGAATTCAGCAGTGAACTCATCAGGGCCTGGACTTCTTTGTTGGTAGGTTTTTAATTATATCTTCAATTTTATTGGCTGATATATAAAATTTATTTAGAATTTTTATATCTTCATTCAGTTTTGGCAATTCATAGTTATCTAGGAATCTGTCAATTTCTTCAGTATTTCCCATTTTATTAGAATACAGATTCTCAAAGTAGGTACTGATCTTTTGGATTTCTGCAGGGTCTGTTGTGATTTCATCCTTTTCATTCCTAATTGCATAGATTTCAGTTTTTTATTTCCTTTTTTATGATAAGGTTGGCTAAGTGTTTGTCAATTTTATTTAATCTTTCAGAGAACCAACTCTTTGATTCATTGATTCTCATATTGTTTTCTTAGTCTCCATTACATTAATTTCTGCTCTTATTTTTATAATTATTTCCTCCCTCATATGAGCTTTGGGTTTCATTTGCTCTTCCTTTTCTAGAAGATTGAGTTTCATCATTAGGTTGTTTGAGCCTGCTTGTTTGCCTGGTATGGGTATTCACCACTATAAATTTCCTTCATAAATTTCCTTATGTGTTCCATAAGTTCTGTCATACTGTATTGTCATTATGATTTTTTATTTTTGTTTTTTGAGACAGGGCCTCACTATGTAGTTGAGACTGACCTGGAACTCACTATGCAGCCCAGGCTGATCTCCAACTCACAGCGATCTTCCTGCCTCAGCCTCCCGAGTGCTGAGATTATAGGTGTGCACCACCATGCCCGGCTGCCATTATCATTTAATTGTAGAAACTTTCTGACTTCTTTAATTTCATATAAAAGTTTTTAATTATAAATGAAAAAAGACCTACCAAAAACATTTAAACTGAATAGCCATGGCTCCATCTGCTCTAGAAAAGGCAAACTCTCCACTAGGGACATAAAGCACATGATGTACTTGGGATGGAAGGGCAGGAGGGAATAGCAGTGGCCACAAAAGTTCCCAAGTGATGTGTGAATGTGTTATTCATCACCATGGGGGCGATGTTCTCCACAACCTCATAAAGACTGCACCTTGCAGACACCACCTGCTGTCCCCTCACACTGTGTCACAGTGCAGAAGATTGCAGTCTGTGATTGAGTTCAGTACCTGAGCATGGACAGTTACCCATGCGCACCTAAAAGTTAAAACCTGCTATGAATCCTCCAGTCTTGGCAACCCAGGGGTTATAATTTAAAAATTTTTATTCTTTAAAGAAAATTATTATGGACATTTTTTGACCATCTCCATAGTCCCTAATGGAATTGAAATCAAACTGAATTGAATCTAGGAAAGAAAATCATTCTAAAACCCAACAGATCTTAAGCGCTGACACTGAGCACTGTGTCTTGAGAAAGGATGGACCCTTAAGGTGGAAAAGCACACTTCCCACTGTGCCTGTTGCAAGTTAAGCATATACAAATCTGTGCATTAAAACTTAAAGTTCACCTTACTCTAACATCACAGACAGCTTTTCTACATTTTCCATTTTGTTTCTAAGGAACACAGAGATTTGTTCCACTATGAAAAGAAAAGGGGTTCTGCGTATGGACCCCTGCACATGACCTCACTTCCTTGGCGACAGGTCCAAACAGAACTCGGAACCCTCGAGTTACCGGACACCACAGTCTCAGGACGGCTGGCTCACAGTCACTTGGCTGGAGACAGCGAGCAGTGAACACGCTGTGCTGCCTGCCCAGGCCTCGAGGCCGCAGCCTCAGGACCCCTCGCAGGGAAAGCACTTGGGAACGAGTGAGAGGATGGATGACTAAGTCCAGGCGCAACAGGCCACTGGGCAGGAACCGCCCTGCCCTCGTGGACAGCACAGGGCAGGCCTCACCAGACCCGGCGACCGATGACCTTGAGATGAGAGCGAGCCCAGGCGAGGTGTCCCCGGGCCTGGCCATCAGACGCGTAGAGCCACTGAGTCCAGGACAGGAACACTTAGGCCTGGCCGTCACTGTGAGTCCCCTGCACAGCGCTCACCCTGCTTCCTCAGCGTGTGTGTGTCCAGGTGGTGGGGGACCAGGTATGAGGCAGAGGCTCCTCCTGGGCAGGAGCAGGTGCTGCTGGGAGGCTGTGAGCCCTGGGTCCTGTCACATCTCACCCATGGCAGGGCTGGCAGGGGAGAAGGGCGGTGCCCCCCGATGACCCCCAGCCTCCAAGGTCATCTCCTGTCCTCCTGAGGGAGACGCCTGAGACAGAGATGTTTCTGTTTCTGGAGCACAAGGCACAAACAGCACAAACGGGTCAGGCAGAGACTCGTGCTTCGTGCCGCCTGCTCGGCACTGTCCCCACAGAGCCGCGTCCAGGACGACGGCCTGGAGATGTCCCTGGGGCCTGTGTGCCCTGTGCTGTGACACACACTGGGGCCACAATAACGACGGGTGCCAGCTGGGGTGTGGAGTATGTGTGTGAGCAGAGGGGACTCTGTCCTGAGGCCACGGGAGGACAGAGGGGCCCTCGGGACAGGTAACCACTTCATCTCCCTGCAGGGCCCAGGGAACGGTTCAGGAAGGTCCTGGTGCCAAAGAAATCTGAGCCCCCTGTCCTCAACCAGCACATCCTCTCTGCTCAGCCCCCACTTGGCCAGGGGCAAGGTCACCGTCCACATGTTGGCGGGAACATCGGAAGAGGAACAGGCACACCGTGTCACTTCTATCCTCTCATAATTTCATTCTGCCATTTCACCTCCTCGTAGGTCCTGGCCCAGGTGCCCATGTGGCAGCTGCTAGATGTCCAGGACCCCTGGGCTAAAGGACCTTCTACAAGGGTGGCAGCGAGCACTGCCATTCAGCCTCCCACGGAGAAGAAAGCTGGACCTGACTTCTTCTGGGGTCATTGCAACAGGAACCCAGGGCACGTTCTGTTTGACCTTACATAAACCTTTCCTCAGCTAAGGAGCTGGCCTGAAAATGTTAGCATTTCTGTTTCCCTTGTAATATTGAACTTGTATCCTGAGGATCGCTTTCTGCTGGGGCCTTCTTGTGCCTCTTCTGGTATCAGCCACTACACACAATTTTGAGTTCGGTCTGGCCCTCATCCTCAGCCCTCCGGATGAGCCGTGGGTAGGACTGCAATTCCATGTCTCTCCACTTTCCCTCGCAGATTGGAAATCTGGAGGCCCAGAGCCTGGTGGAGGTCTGCATGGTGAGGACCGCACGGGCAGGCACGCCGCCCCCACTGATGGAGGCCTTCCTGGACAGCTGCTCCATCTGTGATGCCTCCTTCCCGGACCCCGCTGAGGCTTGCATTTCCTTCCTGCAGGAGGGGATGCTGAGAAGGTGAGTTCTTCTCTCAGCAACATGATGGGCCTTGGTCACTAGGATTCCAAACTTGGGAACATGAAAGCACCTGCCTCAGCCTCAGCTTGCAACTCTGAACAGGGAGGTGTGAAGAAAATCCTGTCACAACTGTAGGATGAAATGGGGGGCCCATCCTAAGTGTCCACCCTGGTCTTGGTCCTGTGGAAGACTGGCTGATTCTTACAGATGATTTTCCATCCCCGCTGGGGAGCTTTGCCTCCCCTGCCCTTACCCCTGCACTTGGGGAAAGTTGCTGTGCTCACCGTAAAGGAGGTTGCAGTCACTGGACGGACTTCAGAGTGGTCCCAGAGCAGGAATCCTTGGGGGGATGCAAGGGCCCAGGCCCACGCAGACCTCATGAAGGAGCAGGTGGCTACATCACTCCGGGAATATACGTGGAGACGCTGCACTGAGTGGGGACACTTTCAAGTTACTATTTTTCAATAACCAGAGCAGATGTAACCCCTACCTTCTGGGGTTTTAATGCTATTTCCACACACTCACGCTAGACATCAGAGCAGGTATTTCACTTCCGGTAGGTATTTCACTCCTGGCCTCCCTAGATGTGGATTAATGACAACGCAAGAGCAGCGCAGAAGGGCAGAGAAGTGAGCAACACATTTCTGTATGAGCTAAAGCCTGGGGAGAGGCAGGGCTGGACAGACACTACTATCCTCTCACTTCTCAGATACTGAGTTAGTTATATGCTAAAGCCCTTGAGTCCAATCAGAGAGGAGATGCCAATCTCTCTCTTCACGGAGCTGACCGTGGGGATGGGCAGAGAGTCAGTGTGTCAGGCTGCCCTGAAGAAGGCAGAGGTGCTCACACTACTGAACAAGGACTCCCTCCCATGAGCCTTCTGCCCATCCCTTAGGAGAGGGTGTGGCTGGACCATGTACAAACTGGGCACACGACCCACATGTCCATCCCTGCGGGTGCTCCGGGCAGTAGTGTGGGAGGAAAGGCCAGGGCTCTTACGCTGCTGCCTACCTGCCTTCCCCAGGTCCACCTCTTCTGTCCTTGACTCCTCGCTGGAGCTGCACTCCAGGGTGGATCTCCCGGCTGAACTACTGACCCAGCAAGAGCAAGCTGAGCCCACTGAGGCAGAACCCAAGGGTGAGGAGGCCTGGCGTATGGGCCTGTGGGCATGTGGGGAGGGGTGGGCCTTTGGGCACAGAGAGAGCTTCCAGGTGCTGGGGTGAACCAGAAACACGGAGACCCTCAGCAGTCAGTCAGGGGCTGCAGTCTGGGAGGACTTCTGGGGTGACTTCATGCACAGAGCCCTCTGACAGGCAGTGGGAAGGTTTTGCCCCAGGAAGGAACATGGGCACTTGGTGATCTTCTCCTCTCTTGCAGCTGCAGGGCCAGCTCCAGCCCAAACTGAAGTCCCACCTGTAGAGTGTGTGCCAGCTCCACCTGCAGCTCCCTCCCCAGCTCTGGTACCACAGCCAGAGCCAGCGCCAGGAGCCCCTTCTCCACCAGGTGCACAACTGGGGGTCCCTATGGATGCACGCTGGGCATCAGCTCCTGAGCTCCAGCTGGGGCAAACTCTCCTGCCCCACCCCTGCCATTCCCGTCCATTACTCTTGGTCATGTTTTGGCATATATTTTTGCTCTTATTCTCTGGATTTATATAAACAACAGAATTATTTTTAAATGAAAGCAGAGATTTTAGTCTTGTTTAAAATGATTAGCTGGGTGGCATGAAGTGCATTCTCTCTGCTCTACACCAGTCACCACTGCCAGAGCATTTTCCTCAGTGCTGTTCCCGTGAGTGGTGCCTCTTCTCTTCCCAGCTGATAGTCCCTGGCCACCACTCATCTTCTGGCCCCATAATTTACCTATCCTACATTTTTCATAGTATTGCATTCAGAGTTCCCTTTGGGCACAGAATACTGGAAGGGACAGATGAATCTTGCTTTCTGTAGAAGGGAAAATCTTAGGCAGACCCTATCCATTTATTATTCACCCATTCACCAAATTATCCAGTTAATTTTGTCACACAAGAAATATTGTTGCTGAAAAGGGAGGAATGTAGCATGAATGAAGAAGAATACAAGAAAGGACGTAGTCACAGCCATCCACACAGGATCTATTGCCTCCCTTTGAGGTGTCCCTCCTTCCTGTCTTCACCTTAGGGTTCATTTATGGCTTTGTGTCTTCACTGCTGCATGGAGAGTGTGAGGCCACAGCTCCTGTGTCATCTCACATATGCACTGGGGACATGGCCCCAACACTTCTATCCTTTGGTAGACACAGTGTCACAAGTTTATGCCCATAATGCAGCTGACAGGAACATGTGCATATGTAAATCTCATTTTAAAGATGGATTCCTGTCAGTGGTGTTTCTGGATCACAGTCACTAGAGCAGAAAGTGACAGTCTCACATCCACAGGATCTGTGGCATCCAAAGGCAGAACACTCAGTACCCAGTGGACGGAGCTCCAGGTGAACTCTCGAAATGCAGCTCTGCAGGTTTCCAGAAGTCACATGGAGGCAGTCCATCCTGACCAACATTTGTCACATCTCAGAGGAGAGAGACACAGGTCAGCACAGCCCCACCTCTCTTACTTGAAGATGGACATTCTGTAGCTCTTGATTAAATTGAATTGTAAAAATATGAAATCAGAGCATCCTGGATACCAGGGAGTGAAGGTTTCTAGGAGTGACTGGTCGAGGAAGGTGAGCTAGGCAGTGAGGCAGCACAAGCGTGTTCCAGTGAGACCTGCCTGCTCTTAAGAATACTTCTCGATGTGTAGGATGTGCAGACAGCCCTATGTTGGAGCCTGTGAACACTGCGGGAACCCTCTGAGTCTCCACGCACAGCCCACAGCTCATGACCTACACAGGTCCCTCCATGCCTGCAAACACTCACTCCATCCTGGCCAGATGCTGCTAGGCTCTCACACTGTGCCTGGGACTCACTGCATTTGCCACAAAGGATCATCCAGACACGGCCAGGCCTGATGGTGGCAATGCCTGGGGATGAGGACTGTGCACCCCATAGAAGTGACTTTGAGAATAATCTACACTTTACGGTTTGCTCCAGGTAGGGCTTAATTTCTGTTCTACATGTGAAATACACCAACCTCACAATTAACGTATTCGTTATGTACCACAAACACATACTAATAAAAAATATAATATGCTAAAAATAAAAAAGGGAATGAAGTTCTGACACATGGGAAAATAATACAATAGCCAAGTAAAGCGAAGTCTGCACAGAGCTGAGACCCTCGACCTGGCAACCCAGGGTCCTTCAGGCCGCTGCAAACCTGATGCACCAAGTGACAGCGGCCTTGAAGCCAAGGCCACACTGATAGGGTTTCTGCGGCCAAGCTTGGTGTAACAGGAAAGTGCAGTTTCACGGCACTTTGCTCTGTGCACGGCCCAGGGAAGACACATGCAGAGCTTGCTCTGTGGTCACTGCCCAAGATAGCCGGAAGCTGCTCAACTCCGGGGGAGGCTGGGAGGACTGAGTAATGAACAGAAAGTGAACACAGCACTCAGGAAAATCTTCTCAAGGTGTCCTCAGCCTCCCCGCCCCACATTTGTACCTCTGCTCAGGACCCTGATGCCTCCATTCTAGCAGTGTGACCAGAACTGCTGTCTCCTCTCTGGTCCCAGGATTCAGGCTCAGAGGTGGGTCTGGCAGTGACATTGGAGGTGCCCCCCCATACCTGCTCTCTCTAAGAAAAGCCCTGGTCTTTCTCCCGTATGCGTCTCCACTGTACACACCTTCCCCAAGGCTCTTTGAAGACTGCTGGTTGCAGGATTCAGCAGTGAAACAAACTCTTCTAGGCGAGTAGCCTAGGCCAAGTAGGCTTTGCTAGAGCCACTTCTGAGGACCCAGGACAGCAGAGCAGCACATGTGAGGAGAAAAGCAGGTAAGCAAAGCTCAAGAGGCGAGGGGTGGGACCACGCACCAGTGGCCCAAGGCATCAGTGGCAACTGTGCCTGGTGGGAGCAACACTCTGGCCATTATCATTGGCATGCACAGTGCTTGGTCACTGATCTGAAAGGCCATGAGGATTGGGGGTGGAGATGAGCACAAGTGGTCCTAGGCTGCTCACCCCCAAAATTCTGTCCTGTGGAAAGAGGGAGGAAATGTGTGTTCAAAATGCACTGGCAGTGAAAGACAGTTAAACTTTGTGACCTGGATCTGAACTGCAGGGGACTTTAGCCCAGAAGGTAAGGATGATCAGCTGCATTTATTAAGAACCTTCTGAAGTCGGGTGTGGTGGCACACCCCTGTAATCCCAGCACTTGGGAGGCTGATGCAGGAGGATCAGTGTGAGTTCGAGACCAGGCTGGGCTACACAGTGAGTTCCAGGTCAGTCTCAAGTACATAGTGAGACGCTGTCTCAAAACAAAACAAAAAGAACCTTCTTTGCTGAGTGTGCGGTTCACGCGATCAGTTCCCAGGAGGAGCCAGCCTGGCTTCCCATCAGGCCAGCAAGCACAAGGTGCTGTCCTGCAGACTCTGAGGGGCACCCAGCTCCTCCTCAGCACCACACAGCTGGATCTTGTTCCACTCTCAGGCAACCCCAGGGAGGCCAGGGGCTTAGGAAGCACAGACGAGGGAAAGTGAGACTTGGTCCCAATCGCTCTGTCCCAGCTGGCCTGGGCTTTGGGGACTTACATGGCTCACCAGAAAAAGAGGCCACGAAGACCCCTCAGTGACCAGCTGCTCTGTGGGCCTGGGCCCCCAGCTGTGGGTGTTATGGGCACAGGGTTGTGAGGAGCGCGACCCCTCAGCCCACTGTGCTAGTGAGACTTGGTCCCAATCGCTCTGTCCCAGCTGGCCTGGGCTTTGGGGACTTACATGGCTCACCAGAAAAAGAGGCCACGAAGACCCCTCAGTGACCAGCTGCTCTGTGGGCCTGGGCCCCCAGCTGTGGGTGTTATGGGCACAGGGTTGTGAGGAGCGCGACCCCTCTCAGCCCACTGTGCAGAGCCCACCCTGCAGCTCCATGTCAGCCTGTGACTCTCCAGAGGCTGGTGAGTCTGTGCTCTACTCAGATCTCTGTGAGGCCTTAGGGGAGCCCTAATGCCCACTTTGGTGCCCACCTGACAGCTCAGCACCTGTGCCTTAGGACTCCCTTGTTGCCTGCTTTGGTGAAGCACACAGCCATCTAGAGGGTGGGGGGGCCCAGGTTCCCCGACACACAGAGTGGACTGTCAAAGCCCTTCCCATGCACACCCCAGACAACTACCACAGATTCCCTCCCAAAATGCCATTGCAGGGGGTCAGGGCAGCACATTCTCCCTAATGCATTTGTTATTCAATTATTTAATATGCCTGGGTATGTCTGAGCCCCTACCCTCTTGACACTCTACCTCGGAAGGGGAGGGTACATTAGGTTTGCCATCCTGATTCCTTCACGGCGACGGGCTGGTAAGTGGGGTGCTTCACTTTTTGTCTTTCCCCATTATCCTTCAGTGATATTTTAGGGTTTCTTCCCCCAGACACACATTGTGCTTTCCATGTGCTTTGTGCCAAACTGCTACTGGAGTGGAAAATTGGAATAGAAGGTTTTTATGTCAGTCTGATCATAAACACCATCTATGACAAACTAAGAGCTAACATCATACTAAATGGTCAGAAACTGAAGGCTGTCACTCTAAAGTCCAGAAAAAGACCAGGATACTCACCATCATCACTTCTATTCTATATACTTCTGGAAACACTAGCCAAGAGAAATTACAAAAGAGAAAGAAATAAAAGAAATGTGAATAGGAAAGGAAGTCAAATTATCATTATTTCCTGATGACATGATAGCAGACCACAAAAACTTGAGTGAAAGACTCCTAGAGTTAATAAAAACATTCAGTGTCATAACAGTTTATAAAGTCAACACTCAAAAATCAAAAGCATTCCTGTACATGAATAACAAATTCGCTCAGAGAGAAATTAAGAAAAACAACATCTTTCACAACAGCATCAAGAAAAATGAAATACTCGGGGAATCAATCTAACAAAGGAAGTGAAACGCCTTTACATTGAAAATTATAGTACTCTGAAAAATGAGATCAAAGAGAATATCAGAAAAAGGATTGGCTGTTCATGGATTGGCAGAACCAACAGAGTGGTACCTTTATTCATGAACTTAATTATTTCCCCTATGATTGTGGTTGTAAGCCAAACTGGAGGAGAAACAAATCAAATTTAATATTTAGGTTCAATGTTGACCTTATGGGGAAATTTGATTCAGTTCTCCTCCAATTTTTTTTTTTTTTTGGTTTTTTTGAGACAGGGTTTCACTGTGTAGTTGAGACTGACCTGGAACTCACTACGTAGCCCAGGTTGGTCTCTTAACTCACAGCGATCCTCCTGTCTCAGCCTCCCAAGTGCTAGGATTACAGGCGTGTGCCACCACACCTAGCTTCCTCCAATTTGTTTTGCAACCAGAATCATGGAAAGAATTGAATTTGTGAACCAACATGCCACTGTATAGTGAAAATAGCTATACTTCCAAAGCTGTTATACAGATTTAATGCAATCCCAATCAAAACAGCAATAGTGTATCTCACAGAAGTAGAGATAACTATCCTAAAACTCCTATCAAATCCGAAGACACCTAGAATAGCAAAAGCAATTCTGTGCAACAAAGGCAAGGTGGGAATGTCACTATCCATGATTTGAAGCTATTATTACGAAGCTACTGTTGGGGCCGGGGATTTAGCTCAGTGGTTCCACCGCCTGCCTTGCAAGCGCAGGGACCCGAGTTCATCCCTGGTA